CATAAATACATACCTACATACATGCATACATGCATATATATATATATATGTGTGTGTGTGTGTGTGTGTGTGTGTGTATACGTTCGTATTTATTTATGTATGTATGCATGTATGTATATATATATGTATACATCAGCTATCGATGAGAAATATTTTTAGGAATCGCACATATCCTGCAATCGGGTCTTTCCTTCAAATGCACCTGTAAATTCAGCTCCTTAACACCGTAACAGTGGATGTGACTGGTGGCCAAAAAGTCATCGTCATTCAGTTAACATTCGGAACACACAGTGATATACACGCCATGCCCACCTCTGGTGCTACGGAAGGGTTTGTATTTTCTGAGTGTATGCATATGGCATCGATTTTCCCGCAACAACTCCGTATCCATCAAAATTGTAACGTCTAGTGCTGCCTAATATAAGGAATAAATGGTATAACGCAACTCGGCATTCTACAATTACACGGAACAGTCGAGGAACATCAGCAGTTTTACAGTACACAGCCGCAGTGACGGTGTTCTTCGACATAGCATAGTACCTGCACAACGCCAATATATGACATTTTGTTAACACAGCTGTTTGTTTGCGCGGGTATGGTGGCACAGAACTGAGAACGTTGACGGGATTACCGCAACATGGATGCCGAATATACGATAGACTACATAGCATATTAATAATTGCCAGATCTATCACTATACACTTTACAACTGGTTGCATCCGAAAGCTCGGCTAGTGTTGTATCGCCGTGTTTTTATTCTCACCCGGAAGATACAGCTAGAGCAAACTTTCTAGGGGGTAGAAACGCTATGCTGGGCTTGGGCATGAATGTATATTTAATTTGCCGACTTGGTTCTTCCGAATATTATATACAATCAATGCAGTCGTAATAATTCCGATGATTGAGTAACCGCCATGAACAAATCTGACGATTCCATCTACACACGACCACCACACGCTCTATTTAGACGAGCACGTCATTGGACTTACTATTATGACTGTAAACAATACCATTAATATCTTGTTATGCCGGGCTTGGGGCATAAACGTATATTTAATTTGCCGAATTGGTTCTTCCGAATATTATATACAATCAATGCAGTCAAAATACCCGATAATTGAGTAACGGGCATGAACAAATCTGACGATTCCATGTAGGATGTCCCTGACATCCACCACCCCGCTCTCCACCACCCTCTTATGCTACAGTCTTCCCGAGGGTACCGAAGTTATGACTGTAAACAAGACCATTAATATCTTGTTTCACTAACCAGGTCCTAGGTTCTCGCCAGGCTACATAGGTTTATACGGTACAGCTTTATTCCTCCTTCAGGATTCCTCAATCGCATTGTCGCTAAAAGTGCCGATTAAAATAGCTTTCTGCGCCACATATTTCTACAACCAATCATCTCGCAACACATGTAAATATAAACCGACATAACTAACAATAACTTATATGTCGCTTTATTGCCATACGCGCCTATCTTTCTTCCACCACTTGATTCTCAGAATCTCCGCGCACGGTGTGTTTATATCGACAGCAATAAGCTTCCGAAAGTAACCTTGCCCACTTAACATTGGAACTGAAGCTGTGTGTCTTGAGCGAACCTATTGAGGATACAGCGCATTCTTTCATTTTTCACCCAGTGTATCTCCCCCACAACTCGTCCTACAAGTTTCTCATCCATTAACGCTGGGGTGCCCATCAGAATTTCCTGTTCACAGCCCTCGCAGTCGATCTTGACGATATCTACGTACTTTTGTTTCGCAATCACGGATTGTAACGAAACCGATTTAACCTCTTCGATACTCTGATTAGGTTTATATTTGCTGACCATGCGGCTGTTTGCCGGATTCACTTCGTCCCACTTTATGAAGAGTGAACGACCGTCGACTGTGGCAGCACTATTCAGCACAGTGAGTCGATCGGAAACTCCATTGACTTTTGCATTGTGTTTGATGAATTCGCGATTAATCTTAGTCGGTTCCAACACTATTGATTTCGCATTCGGGTACTGCAGCAGGGTCGCTATCGAGAAAGTGCCAACGTTGCCGCCAATATCGATTACCTTGCCGTTCTTCTTATCTTGAAGTTCAGTTGCCTTGCAAATGCCATACTCATCCTCAGCAAATTCACGAATAATATTCGCATCCCGGAGATTATGGCCGCGCATCAAAAATTGGTGCCCACAAGGCAGGCTTACATTCACCTCATCAAAGCTATTGGGGTCAGTTGGTGTATCTGGATCGTTTACACGGACCGCGTATGGATTTACCCCTTGCTTTGTGGAGCAGTAATGTCCAGTGAACAATGCACAACATGCTACCACAAACAAGATACACAATCTCTGCTGTTTACCATTAGCTCTCGATTCCATCATTGTGTTTAGTGCAGCTAACTTCAGCACATTGATCTTGTCAGATAAGGGAAATATCTCACACAAGTTATATGATATATTATCTGCTAAAAATCTGTACCGAATTCGGCCTTATTTTTTTCTGCTATCTGTAAGTTGAATTTAAATGGAGGCTGTGAATAGCTTATTTTTTCTGCTATCTGTAAGTTGAATTTAAAAGGAGGCTATGAATAGCCACCTATGATCTGTACCGAAATCGGCCTCATTCTTTCAGCTATCTCTATGTTGGATTTTCACAGCACCGTTTTTTTTTTTTGCTATTTGTAGCGTCATTTATTCTACTATCTGTATTGAAATCAGCTGGCGTACTGGGGTAAACGAATAACGATATGGTCTGTTAAGGAAAAGACACATCGTGAGTTCGTGACACGACGAGTCGGCGATAGTCTTTCCGATCTAAAATTCTAAATAAATACAAGCCCCGCCGGCCACCGCTCACCAGTCACCCGAGGTATAAATAATAAATAGGTTAGAGGAAATTAATTTATTTATTTTTTTGGAAATTTCACTTCCTTCTTGTTGAAGGCTTCTTCGGTTTCCATAGCCTTATTAAAAAAAACAAGAAAAATCAAATTCCAACAGTACGCCGGATCAGGTGAAGGCACAACCACCTTCTTATTGGTCCTCAAACCCTCAACTTGCTTTCATAAAATCACTTTGACAATTTGTACTGGTGGGTCTCACTGGGTGGTCATTTTATTTTATTTTTGGTTGGTGGACTGGTGGCTGCCTGGCAAACCCTAAAACCCTAAAACCCTAAGGCCTCAAGCTGGTGATTGGTGACTGGGGACATTGGTGAGTGGTGGACTGGTGGTGGGTCAGTGGTCATTCTGGTCAGCGGGACTTCTTCTCACTTCATGACTTCTGTGAGTCAGCGAGTCTATGTCTCTAAATACATATGTTTACATAGTCTTATTTAACTCCATTATGTCTCTATTTACAATTTTACCAATGACTGTGACAGTGTGAATTGTGAAAGTAGGGTGACCGTGAGTCTGTGACTCTTGTGACACTATAACTGGGCGTTGTCATGCAAAATTCATGGCCTTCTTTTCAATTGAACACAAAATTTCACAACCAATTGAAAGACCACGTATGTAGTAATTTATAAATATATATTTAAAAAGACAACACGTATTACATATGTAGCGGTTGTAGCCTATGTAGCCTGTAGGGGCAATATTATTCATAACCTTCTTGTTTTTTAAGATGGCTGTGGCCTTCTAAATAGATTATGATTAGTGTTTTTTTTTAGAAGGCTAAGCAATTAATTACATACAATTTTTTTAGGTCCATCACAAATTAGTGTGACTGTGTGGGGCCCATTTAACCTCATAGGCTCATTCCGTTGAAGGGATCCAATTTAAAGCTGAACGTGAACGTATATTTGTTCAGTTTATACGTTTTCAGATAGCTCAAGGGTCTATATCATGACTACATGTCCAACCCCAATCCAAAAGTTGAGCGCGTACACTATAATAGATGAAAAACGAATACTATACACACAGGGGGATAAACATGATATTTTGGGTTTGTACATAGCCTTGCCTTGTAGGCCAGTCGCTTCTAAGGCCGATACATTGTGTCCTGTGTTGTGGGATGCATTGCTTTGGTAGCCAGCACTCAGCTGTGATCATCACAACAACTACTACTTGCACACGTGTACATGATTTTACTGAAAACCAACATGTAAAAAGGTGGGCGTCTTTGCGACGCATTTGGTTGCGTTTGTCATCTTGGGATACGGTAATGTCCTGTGTTCTAAACAACAACAAACGAGTTGTACGAATAGCTGCTACTGAAAACAAGAGAGGCCGATATGAATTCTAAACAACAACAAACGAGTTGTACAAATAGCTGCTACTGAAAACAAGAGAGGCCGATATGAATGTACACGAACTTGAATTTTTGTAATAAACAGATAGTAGTGTAACCTATATAAATGTATACAAACTTGAATTGTTGTAGTATATAGATAGTAGTTTAACCTATATGAATGTACACAAACTTGAATTGTTGTAGTATATAGCATTTTTTTTCGTGGTGTAACCTATATAAATGTACACAATCTTGAATTGTTGTAGTATATAGTATTTTTTAGCTGTGTAACCTATACAAATGGATACAAAATTGATTTGTTGTAGTATATAGTATTTAGATTTAGTAGTGTATCGTATATATGCGTGATACAGGTCTCACTACCGTACCATTGGCATGCAGCTACTATTCCATATTACGTAGACCATGGATGAAGTCTGTCTTGGACTCGCATGCGTTGTGATATGTACTGAAGCCCCCAGTACAGTTTCCGAGATATCCAAAAACTCTGTAATCTCATAAAGCTCGTATAGCCCGCCCGTGGGTGGTACCTTGTCCATATCAAATCGGATACCACAAGCTTTACCAATACATACATAGAACGGTGGAATTAAAATATGCAATCCGATTTTTATTTGTACATCGTATGTGGAAAATATCGGCTTTGCTCAAATGAGAATACATAGACCGCGTTCGCGTCAGCAACTCATATAACTATAAATTCGGGTCAACATTGCGCACGCCTACTGGGAAGAAGACCGGCAGCTTAGGATCCTATTATGAGTTCAGGGGTTGAGGGGATTTAGGGTTTGGGACATTAGAAAGTGGGGAATTGTACTGATGACCGCCGATGATTTGTCAAGTAACTGCTTAGCAACATGTAGGTGTCATGTCACGCCTCTAGCCAGCAGAAGCGCTGCAGGTAGATAGACAGCACCTGGCGAAAACCCTAAAACCCCTGTTGACCTGAAATGTAATAGCTATGCACTACGTGTTGTATTTACTCGGTTGCATACATGGGTTTAGGATCAGATACATACACAGGAACAACCCCTGATGCATACACAGGAATAAACCCTGATGCATACATAGATATAGCATTTTGCGATATCAAACTACGAAGCGCACGGTCGAAAACCGACTATTTGTATATGTGGATAAGAAGAAAGCACGGGTGCCTTGTTTTCCATACAGTTAATAGCACGAACGAATTGAGGCTCCAAACTAGGCCATATATTTTAGACACGCACACACTCTCTCTCTATGTATTTGATATGTATACACACACTCGCGCACTCTATGTATCTGATATGTATACACACACACTCTCTCTCTCTCTATGTATTTGATATGTGTACACACACACACTCTCTCTCTATGTATTTGATATGTATACTGCAGCGTTTCAATTCGGAATGATGCACACGCGTTCGTCTATTCCGATGTATTGGTGTGCACACGCCAAACCCACCCACACGAGTGTTGTCCATGCGTTCCAAAACCAAGTATCTATATCAAATCAAGTATCTATATCAAATCAAGTATCTATATCACATCAAGTATCTATATCACATCAAGTATCTATATCACACTAAGTATCTATATCAAATCAAGTATCTACATCAAATCAAGTATCTATATCAAATCAAAAATGTATATCATTACCTGTTTCATCCACGGATGCTCTAAGCATGCCGCCGCCGTAAGACGTTCGTCCGCAGGGCAGAGCATTTTTCTGATCAGGTCTTTAGCATCGTCGGATATCTCGGCCCAGGGATCGTCCGGGAAGTTCAGAGGTTGGCGGTCAACCGGTGTGAAGGGGTCCGGGAACGGTAGAGCCCCACAGAGACTGTACCGAACATTTCACAGTGTACGTAGCGATAAAGCGAGATAGTATTAGCACAAAGGCGTACGCGGTTGGTAGAGAATGATATGAATTTAGCACAAAATCGGAATCAGTGGATTAGAAAGTGATATGAATTCAGCACAAAATTAGAAATAATTGATTAGAAAGTGGTATAAAATTGGCACAAAACCAGAATCAGTGGAATAGGAAGTGATATGAATTCAGCACAGAACAAACAGTATCAGCTGGTGCGAACGTGTCCTGAATTTGGCTCACAGCCGTGTCCACATGTCCGGTGGCGAGTGCGCACCAGGGAACGCGCAGCCTGAGACGATATATATATATATATATATATATATATATCATCAGACACATAACTCCTATGCAAGTAGCCTGGGGTTGCGTTTGCCTTAGTTAAAAACACTACGCATACACTTACATGTGGTAGAGGACTGCACCCACAGACCACATATCCACCAGCACGGTGTAGCCCACCCCACGCTCACTCTGTGACTTGATCTCTGGGGCCATATAGGCGCCAGTTCCCGCGACCGTTTCTGTGTACATGTCCTCGTCCAGCGACTGGTGGGAAGGCACCGGCAGTGGGCGTGTTAGACGTGGGTGCGTGCAGAAGGGAGTGTAGTACACGTATTTGTACATGGTATGGATGTGGATGTGGATGTGGATGTATATAAGTATGTGTATATGTATATGTATATGTATATGTATATGTATATGTATATGTATATGTATATGTATATGTATATGTATATGTACATGTATATGTATATGTATATGCATATGAATATGTCTATGTATATGAATATGTATATGCATATGCACGTGTCTGAGTGTTTGTATTAGATACATGGGTGTGACCAGCAGAAGAGATGTTTTAAGAATCGATCAGGGGTTATGCCTAGAGATAGCAGAGGACATCGGAGAACCAGCTGAGGCGTGCAAGGTGCAATAGGTACATCAGGAGTGTCATATATATATAAACACATGCACAGTTCAGAATACGGCAGACGGCCGCCAAGCAACCGAAGGCTGGGTATAGATCAAAGACGGTAGGTACATACATACATACATACATACATACCCTCTCTCGCTAGAGATATACGATCCCCAAAGGGGGTTAATTAGGGCAAACTCTTTAAGATCAATTAAGGCAAACTCTTCAAGATCAATTAGGGCAAACTCTTCAAGATCAATTAGGGCAAACTACTTGTACTAGTTAATATAGTTCTATAAGTCTTTAAGTGGTCCAGAGATCCGCAGCTTAGCTACTTGGGGTAAATATGCTTTTACATCACGATGTGCTTACATACCAAACAGGATGTAACTCGCATTCACATCGCCAGAGGGGGGGGGGGTTGTTCATTGCACGTATATGTGTGTATCGAGACATACACAGGTATACACACACATAACTTTCACTGCATATACCCAACACACGAGAGATTAAAACCTTTGATCTCTACACACAAGACTTACCTTGGCAAATCCAAAGTCTACAATCTTGGTGCGCATTGGATACTGATCCATCACTCGTTTGAGGAGGATGTTGTCTGGTTTCATATCTCGATGGGTTACCTGAAGGTCATGCAGATACTCTAGAGCCACCACTAACTGCCAGAAGATATACTGACAGTCGGATTCTGTGTGAAATAACAAACAGACAGAAATGTAATGACATATATATGCATATATACATACATACATACATATGTACACACACAAAACACACACACACATATATATATATATATATATATATATATATATATGTGTGTGTGTGTGTGTGTGTGTGTAGTAAA